AACCACATATCTGTTGGGCCCCTAACAAGGACCTTAACCACCACTACCCCCCCCCCCCAAAATGCTCTAAGAGTACTGCATAAATGGCTGATCTTACACTCAGACCAAGTTCATTCTCAACTGTGTACGTTTCAATGGAGAGCAAGATCTGAGATGCAAAAAGAATTCCAATGAACCTGTACTTGAGCAAATAAAGCATTCCTTTCAATTCATTTCCTGATACCTTATGTACTGTAAGTTTAAAATGAGAATACTATTGTGTGTCCCCAGTGAGTACAACTCTGTTAGTCAAAATTGAATACTGTATCCTCCTAAATAATACATTCTCATACAGAATAGAATTTTAAGCATTTTAATTAAAAAAGATAAAAGAGTATAAAATGCACAATATTTAATGATCAGCACCCTGGCAAGAAGTAATGGGGTTCATTTGCTTTCAGAGCACATTCGGAATAATGGCTGTGCTCAATATTCAAAAATGTCCATTTGAAAAGACAGGGTCTCTGTAATATGCTCTGTTAGTGTGATGTACTACACTATGCCCAATGGTGTAAATCATTTAGAGGATTTATTTGTCTCCACAGTGGCACACCGTGTTTGTCTTCTGGACCAGTCTTGCTCTAATTCCTTTAGTTCTCATGCAAAGACGACTTCTCATTTCTTGCCCATGTGACTCATGTGTTTTTCTGCTGCTGATGAGTTTGCTTTGCTGCCCGGTTATAAGGTTTAATTTGCGGCTTCACCCCTTTCATCGTTAGCACCTCAGCCCTTTCAGCATGTCAGAGGTGCCAGTTTCCACCAACAAATGATTCCCAGAGCGGCAGCTACAAAAGTCTTTCTGTCCCCAGGTCCTCGTCACCCGGCGCTTTTTCCCACTTATTTGCATCTCTGGTTGCGTGCTGACAGTGTTTCAACACTCTGCAAAGGACAAACCCGTTAGTTGATTTTGTGGCATGAATTAAATGTTGTTTTTATTGTGGAAGAATTTTGAAGTAATGTCTGGAAGTTACATTATTACACTTTTAAAGGCTTTGATAACTTTTTTCGGGTTACGCCAAATTGGTGGCCATATTACTCCAGCAGTAGGTGCACATGATCCAAGGTCAGTTAATGGAGACTTTCATTCCTGATCTGGAGTTCATCTGCAGGCCACTGTTGGAGCTCCGCCAGGCCTTGAGGTGTAATTATCTTGTCCTGTCCACTGGCTGTGATTGGTCTTTTTGGTGGTTTAGGTTAGGCTTAGGGTTAGGTTTAGGGTTAGGCTTAGGCTTAGGATGATTAGGTCCAGGGTGAGAAGTCGTGCATTAAAATTCAAGGGAATGGGCTGGAATTATGGCCCTCAAAATGTACTGTGATGCTACAGTAAGATTTCCAGTAGGCCTACCCCCCCTTCCATATCTCTGGGTCCTGGAGTTAAATATACATTCTGATTCAAACCAGCAGGTCTGGAGATGTGAGGCAATGGTGGTCTCAGAGTAAAAATAACACCATCAGTGTAGGACACGAGCAGAATGACACCAGCTCCATGTCCCTATTTCACCCCCTTTACTGTAGTTACTGTACTAGCACCTAAATCTAATTACGAGCTCTGAGTAAATCCCTCCTAGTTTGCTTGATTATTCCCTTTCTTTACAGGAAGTTGTGCCACATGTCTACACTCCATTGTTGGCTAGTGTTTTCTAGAATATTCCTATACTCGTACAGAATGATCGTTCCCCGACGGCCGCCACGCTGGTCGCCGATTTGAGCGCGCTCACAGACATAGAGGTGCGTGGGCCGGCACTTGATTGCCACAGAGAGGTTAGAAGTAATGAGCTTTCATGAGAGAGCTGGCCGGCGTGTACAGGCAGTGGCTGCCATGGAAACCATACGGGTTCCCCAGGCTTTTTAAGATTGAATAGAGACAGTGTCTACCATGACTTTTGGCCAGGCTGTTTGTTTTGGTAACCTTTGGTAACACAGTGTGTGTGGGGGGTGTATTAGAGTTACTACTGCTGTGCTGTTACAGTGTACAATGGGGTTCATTACAGTTGGTGTGTGTGTGATACAGGTGCTAGCTGCAGAGTTTTGTTTCAGATTATTGAGAGATAGATCGTTTGTGTGGAAGCGGGACGCTCAGCGGTGAGCCGGCATTGACGGCTCAGACTGACTGATAGATGGGTTCGAGGGACCTCTGCTTCATCTTTAATTGAGAACAGAGACAGCGCTGAAATGAAAGTATTGATTTCTGTGTCTGCCAGGCTGCATGCAGCTCCACCAGCCGGCAGGGTGTCCCTCCCTTGGTGGGGGGGGGTTACAGGATAAGAACCTGTTTGGGACAATGGAGGACAAACTGAGGAACAAAGGTATTTTCTCGAATTTTCTTCTGCGAGGACAGTTTGACGGCGATACTGAATCCACACCGCTGATCCCGGGCCTAACCCTGACTGCAGCCGCTTCGTCTCATGCAGTAAAGTGAATCAGACTTTCCTACTGCAGGTCATTGCCTGGCCTCGCTGTAGCTCCTGCCGTGCCTGAGGCCTGTGGTTGTTTTTCTTTGCCGCATCCTGTGGTCCAGTCTTACGGTATTGCAGCTCACCTGGGGCCCGATGCCAGCAGGTTAATGATCCCTATCGGGTTTCCGGCCTCTGCAAGCCCGACGCTTTCGTTTTCGCTCGAAACAAAAGCGGCCTCTCAATTTGCTCATCTCCAGCTAGCAGATAGCCCCAAGCTGGGCCCACATGATGTTTCTTTGGAATTCTGTGTTTCTTGGGGGAGGGGGGGGGAGGGAGTCCATTAATGCCAAAACAAAAACAAAGGTAGGTGGCCAAGCTGGTTTGCCACCATAGTCAGTGGCCCCTGGGCTACTTCAGCTGTCGGCGGGGTAGCGGGGGGGGCTGACTTAAAAATACAAGACAATCCTTTTTAGAGGAGATGCCTGGCCTTCAGCCTGAGTGAGGTCAGGTCAGGTCAGGTTGGGGAGCATGCACTGGTACAGCACTTTGCCGTACTAAACACATGAGGAAATACCTAAGGATCCCGGTAAGTGCCCCCTCCCCCCCCCAGGGTGACATGCGGTCTAGTCGCACCCTCCAGAAATGGCCATGTATCTGGCCCAGCCAGCTGTCACATGGCCATGCATTAAAGCACATTTGTTTGTGACTGATGTCCACCAATCAGCAACCTCCTTCTGAATCTCGGAAAGTTTTTCCAATTTCAACCTCAAAACCAAAACTGGGTCTGTCAGTGTGTCTGCAAATGCATTCACCAGGGGCCACGTGCTCTCTCTCACACGCACGGAACACACAGACGCGTGTCATAGCACACCATCGGGGGGGCCCTGCCCCACACCGCATGCGGGGGGACCCCGCACCCAGATCTTTAGTCTCAGTGACTTTGAAGCCCCTTTCCGCGGCCAGCCACCAGGATTCCATGGCAAAGGTCACGGCAGGGAGCGAGGGGGGCTAGGGTGCGGGGAGGGGTGGGGTCAGTCACGTCCCCCACGTCTGCCTCGCAGTGCACGCCTGACGCTGACATTTTCTAAAAGCAGCCATGCCTGCTGTGGCCCCTTCTACCCCCTCCGCCAGGGCCCCCACCCCCGGTTAAATTTTCACTTCCAGTCTGACCGGATAAAAGGGCACATTCAAGCCAGCGTCAGTGGGACACCAAAGCTATGTCGGTCTCTTGGGGTCAGGCCACACCCACATTGTCATGGCAACGCGTGGGCGGGCTTTTCCGCTCCCCTCTTTCCTGGGTCAGCGCGCTCCGTCGCACACTGATGGATCACCTGCCTGGCTGGGAGGAGGGGGCGGGGCTCACAATGCTGATACGCACAAGGCTCTCATTACACCCCAGGAGGCTTTTCCACAATATCCTGCCCTGAACCATGACATTTAGGGACTATTTGTCATGTGACTCTGCCCCCTGATCTGGGCTCCCCCCACGAAGTTCTGTGGGGTTTAATTCCACAGGCCCAACATATTGACCCTAATAGGCCCTGACATTCATTGCTGTATAAAATGTGTTCCCATCCAAACCCACACATAAATAAACACGCCTCTCCACAGGTCGGTTTCAGCACATGGGGTAGGAATCATATTGTCATGTTTGTCATGTGACCCTCCCTCACCTCCCCGCTCTACCTGCTGACTGTCCCATGATGTCATACTGAGTGTCCCATATCCCATATGCCTGAGAAATATACCTCGTTTGCGTGAGGGAGGAGCTCCAGTTATAGTGACCTTTAAAGTAATTACAAATGATCACCCAGTCCCGTTACACAGCCGAAACGGTACTAGCGTGAGCGCACACTCAGGGCCACCCTCAGTGCCACTCTCAGGGCCACCCTCAGGGCCACCCTCAGTGCCACTCTCAGGGCCACCCTCAGGGCCACCCTCAGTGCCACCCTCAGGGCCACTCTCAGTGCCACTCTCAGGGCCACCCTCAGTGCCACCCTCAGGGCCACCCTCAGGGCCACCCTCAGTGCCACTCTCAGGGCCACCCTCAGTGCCACCCTCAGGGTCACCCTCAGGGCCACCCTCAGTGCCACTCTCAGGGCCACCCTCAGTGCCACCCTCAGGGTCACCCTCAGGGCCACCCTCAGTGCCACCCTCAATGCCACCCACAGTGCTACTCTCAGTGCCACCCTCGGGGCCACCCTCGGGGCCACCTTCAGGGCCACGTATTCAACACGCTTTCAGGAGAACTTCACAGGTATGTAGCAGCAGCAACCTTCGGTGGAACCGTGTTGAAGACATGCGGTGAAAACTGAACATCCACAGGCCTTCTGCTCAGGGCAGGGATGGACACCATGCCATGGGCTTCCCCTGTGTCCCACGTGACTGACCATTTCCCAGCATGTCTCACTGCGATGCACATCCCTGAGACGTAACACATCACAGCAGTGCTACAGGACACTGACTTAGTGACTGACTTAGTGACTCCCTGGGTGATGCAAAGAGAAACGCAAGACAGACAAAATAAGCAAAAGATAATCAATAAATACATGCAGCACCACTATGTAACTCAGCGATGAAGAAATTAAGATTCCAATTTATTTTTCTTACATAGTTATTGCTCATGGCTGCACCCATTTATAAAGAGTTTATTCAATTTTACCGTATACTTTCCTTGTAAGACGTCCCGGCAGGCGCTGTGTTCCTCTAGCGTCATGCTACGTCTTCTTAAATGCTGGGTACATTCTTGCAGATGTTTGTACAATTTACTCTGCATGGAAGCTGACACTGTACTGTAAAAGGAAGCCTTGTCTGTTTCCATGGTATTACCAGGATCTTACCATATATTTTGTAATAGCTTTTCCCTTTCCCATGCAGTCAACACGAACTTGTGCAACGTATGTTCTGCAATGTTACTACGTACAAAATGGCAATGTACTCAGCAGCTAAGCTGACACTGTACTGTAAAAGGAAGCCTTGTCTGTTTCCATGGTATTGCAGTTAGAGGGTAATAGTGGAGATTTGTCTACGTTTTTCAGCTGTAGTTTCTCTGTGTTTACCTACTTATTACCTGTGGTAATTAACCAATAATATATTATAATTTACCATATACGTACCAGGTAATTACTTAGTAATTAGGGGACTAAAAAAAGGGTTACAATGATAATAATAATCATCATCACCATCATCATCATCACCCATGAGTGTTTCATGAAAATGCATGACCAGCACTTTCTCATCTTCCTCCTAAGTCGGTGGACTGAGGACAGAGGGAAGACGGGGGGGGGGGCTTGGCCAGCTGACAGCACTGATACCCAGGAGTGCCAATATGGGGGGGTAACATTTACAGCGATTCTAAATCATTTGTACCATAATAGAAGAGGTCTGGATTGAGGGCCCAGTGATTATACCTGAACCAGCCCCCCATGGCTGGGCAGCAATGACATCACAGGAATTTCCATTGAAACATCACGGGAGCGAAAGAGTCTGAAGGGTTTGTGGGTGTGGCATGGGGGTGTGGCTTACGATTTCTGCAGTGATTAGGGGCGGAGCCTGACTAATTGGGCCTTCTGCTTTGCATCAACCCTTCCTCTGCATCACAGCACCTCACATTTAAACATCTAAATACATTGTGAGCTGTTCCCCTCCAATTCCTGTTCATGTGGAAGGGCAGTAATTGTATAGCTGAAGTACTTCTTAGTGCTCAGCATGCATAATCAGGAATCAGGAATCAGGATACACACAGGTACTTTCTCCCCCGTCTTTCTCGGGTAGCTTTGCATCTCTGGATTGTTGGAGCATACCGTTCCTGAGAGTCAGGGATCAAATTTTGCTGCCCCCTGCACTGTGGCAGTCTGGGAGCACAATCTGGCAGCTTCGGGCCCCTGATTCACCCCCTGTCTGGTTCTACAGTTCTGCCTCTTATCCCTTGCTTGGTGTCTGTGGCCCCCCCCTGGGACAGGCACAGAGAGAGGTGCGGGGGAGGTGTAAAGGAGCGTGAAGTGGCATGGCTAATGGGTAGCACCTGATAGCATTCACCTTGCATTTTTTGTGCATGAAGGAGTGGTTCACATACAAGGTGACACACACACTCTCACTTTTCATGGGCTTTCTGTCTGTGGGGGCATCGGCTGGTTGTTAGAATGGTCTTTTCATCTTTTCGAAATGGTCTTTTTCTTCTATGTCTGGAGTAGTCAGGCGTCCACAGGAGAGCGGCCACACTGCAGACCGTCACGCGCTCGTGGATTCACAGAACGTCCACGGGCACCCAGCTGAGATGTTCACCTTACGAACAGGTATGTCCTTCAAAGTCACCTTGACCAGCCGCGTGTTCCGAGCAGCTTGTACTTTTCCAAGGCAAACAGGAAGAATGTTTTGGCTCAACGGGCACATGGTGGGGGTGATGCTCAAGGTCAGGGTCTCACACCATCATGCGACAATGTCCATTACGCAACGCCTGCCTCTGTCAAAGGGCAGCTTCTTCTCTTCTAATTAAAACTGATTCAAAGCAAACCTTTTGCCATTTCTCTCCGGATAAGCCTGACTGTGCTTCATTACTCAGACTTAATGAGATTGTCCTCATTTTGCAACCCACTGCCATCTGGCCCATGTGGTTGGTGTCTGGATGAAGTAGGAAGAGCTGATCCTTCAGGAAGAGTCTGCACGTGACATTCAAGGAGACCCCCCAAGTTACTCTCAAGGTGACCTTTCCAGTGGCCCTTTATGGAGGCCCGTCACCTAACATTTCTGGTGGCCCCTGAAATGAAAACAATCAGCAGTGACTCTTGTTCCTGCTTGCTGGTGTCGGTTCAGTTTCGGTTGGGCTAAACACACCTGGAAGGTGAGAGTTAGCAGCTAATCCCTGCGAACCCCGTAGCCTCCTGAGGTATGTGCCAAGCAGGCTGGGGCTGTGGGGGAGCGGAACTTCAAAGGTGCATGGAAGTAATTAGAGGGGTGCTGGTGTAGTTAGAGGATACTGCTAATAGGGACCAGCAGTGGACGGCCAGTGAACCATGTTCTGCTAGGAATGTTTCCTGGTCCATTGCTATGGCTGCAGGTGTGATCTGCTGAGCTAGATCTTTAAGAACCACCTTAGCCCTGGCTGCTATCACTCGTGGCTTTGTCTTGTGTTCCACCATACATGTCGGCTTCCAAGCCAGCCTGAGGTCCAGTGTACTGGGCACAGCTGCCTCTCTATCCGTCTTTACTGAGCAGGTCCCTCGGTGGAATATAACAAATGGGTTTATCATCCTGCCCAGCTGACAGGGTCAAATGGAAGCCTGCCTCTTATTGGATCATGACAAAAAGGGTTATATTTAACACAATGCTCCTGGGCTAATTGGAAGGCTCATTAAAGCATAATTGATTTTCCTCGTCTGAGATAGACACCAATGAAAAAAATGGGAACTGACGCGATATCCAAACGGCGGCTCCTTGGTTTATGTGTCTTTACTTGCGTTTTGCCTCAGTGGTTCTTTGACTGGTTTCGATGGTGTAAAATGGCAGGTTCCCAGCCTTTCGTGCTGCCTGTCAGATCGAGGACAACAGCCAGCTCTTCTCCGAGTGTTTTTCTTTTTATCTTCTGGCATCTGTGGTTCCTCTCTCCCAGCCTCTTTTTCATTCTTCACAGGTGACGGCGGCCTGTAATGGCTTGACACCCCATCCTGGGTTGTCCCCTGCCTTGCATAATCTCCAAGATCTCCAGACCCCCCAGAACCCTGAATAGGAAATGTGGTTAAGGAAAATGGATGGATGATTGCAGTTATCGAAGTTTATAAAATTCAGTTTCCCCTTGTGTGAACCAACACAACATTCCCCACTGCATCAAAATAACAGTTTTTTTGTCCCCACAATGTATTACATACATAAGGCCCCCTCCCACGCACACACACACACAGATACACACACATTACCTCCTGCCAGCTAGAACATTTTTAATGAGCAACATGGTAAGTAGTGAAGGCTATTATCAGGTGTACTTGTATTTGGCTGTCTGTGTTCTCATGGTAATGGGCTGTTCTTCCTGACGTTCAGCCTGTTCCAGGCAACGCCTAGCTTAATGAGTTCCTTAAACGAGAACAGAACATGACGGAACTGTAATTAGCTGTAATTTGAGTCCAATTTCTGGCTTACCTTTTGCTGCACCTTCTGTTCTGTTTTGTTGACGGCACTGATCAGAAATGTTATGGATTTACTCGACAACCTAGTGGGGTAAAGGCAGAAAGAGGACAGTACTCAGGCTTCAGGTATTCAGCAGCTGATTAATGACGTAGCGATTTCTGTCATCATTGTTACCTTTTCATGTAAGGAGGAAGCGCTGTTTTGTGAACCAAGGAAACAAATGCTACACGATGAGCTGGCTGCTGGAGGCTGGCATTTTTCACACAGTTCCCACAGGTGACATGAATGAAGCATGAGTAGATCCTGGTCACGCTGCAGGGCCAACCAGCCGGGCGGAGATCCAGCGAGCGAGCGCTGGACGTGGTGGACCTTCTAACTGGCCTGGGGTCTGAACAGACTGAGCGTAATGCAACGCTGCGCTTCCACGCAGTATGTTACTGCATCTTGCACTCCCCAGGCAGCCTGTCTGGCTGCCTAAGCTAGCAAAGGCACTCAGCTCTCGTCTTTGAAAACAGTTTTTTTTTTTTTTTTACATGAATGAGTAACCGTCTTTTAGCAGAAACGGTTCCCTGAGTCGGTGCATGTGGGGACCTGCCCGTGGTCAAACACATCTCTGACTTTGTTCCACATATACACACACATAGGGAGATGACATCACAGTGTGCTGAGGGAGTGTGTGTGTGTGTGTGTGTGTGTGTGTGTGTGTGGATTATGTATAGCCTCAGAAAAAAATTAAGAGAACACAGGACAATTTCTTGTTTCACTCATTTCTCAAGGTATGGGTCTGTGCCTGTGAATAAAATATATATATATATATATAACATTTATTTGTTTATTTATTTATTTTTACTTTAGTAAACTGCCTGGTTCTTCCCTAGTCCCCATTAATGAAGGGCTTCATCTTTGCTTTATGGGACTTCAGTCCTGCTTCTAGGAGTCTGATATGAACTGTCCTAGCAGTGCTCCTAGATTTAAAAATGCAGATTTGTTTAAAAATATAGAGCAATCACTTAATTTTTTCTGCCGCTGTATATATTACACTGTGGGCACGAAATGTCCCCACAATGTGATAAAACCGAATTTTGTACAAATATGCAATAAAAAAACTAAAATTGCCAAAATTCTTGTATTTTGTTTGGTTAGTTGTGGGTAGGGGTGTTGTGGTGGTGTCATGGTTAGCACTGTTGCCTCACAACTCTGGGACATGTCATCATAGGATTTCATTTGGGTATCCCTAGGGTCAACAGAGAGAGAGAAAGAAAGAGAGAGAGAGAGAGAGAGAGAGAGAGCATCCTTAGTGCCCTAGGGTCAACAGAGAGAGAGAAAGAAAGAGAGAGAGAGAGAGAGAGAGAGAGAGAGAGAGCATCCTTAGTGCCCTAGGGTCAACAGAGAGAGGGAGAGAGCAATCCCAGTGCCCTATGGACAGCAGAGAGAGAGAGAGAGAGAACATCACCAGTGCCCTATGGACAGCAGAGAGAGAGAGAGAGAGAGAGAGAGAGAGAACATCACCAGTGCCCTATGGACAGCAGAGAGAGAGAGAGAGAGAGAGAGAGAACATCACCAGTGCCCTAGGGTCAACAGAGTGAGAGAGCGTATCCCCAGCTTCCCCCACATTGGCAGACATGGCTTATTCACTTAGGTGGCACATTGATCCCTGCTGTGAGAGTGGGCTCCTTTTACAAACCTCTTCCTTATTCCCACCGACACTCAGCTGAAGGAAAAGGCAGGATACATGCGGCTGAACACAGGTGAGGCCTATGCAGGAGCCTCCCTCAAGCATGCGAGTCAGGGGCGAGCTGTCCTGTAGATAGCAGAAAGAAGACAACCTTACAAATGCCAGGGCTGTGTGAGACTACGATGTGACCACTGAGGTGTGATGGGGGGGGGCATCATATTGTTTCTGCGTATATATGCAGGCAATGCAAAGGTCAACCCAAGTCATCACTCCCATGGATGTTTATTCTCACTTTAGCTTCATCCCCCACGTTTGCTTCATTTACCATTTACAGATACACTGAAATGGATATGCCCTCCAACCCTAAATCTACACAAGTGTCACACCCCCTACCTCATTCCTCCTCGGATGGACATGACCTTTGCCCTTTCACCCTGAGATACTAAAACAAGAAAACGTCCTTTTCGGTAGCTGCTCACTACCCAGATGGTTCGTTTATACGAGCACTGGAAGCGTGACGTCTGCAGTGAAGCAAGCGACTACAGACCGCCCTTCTGCATCACGAAGGTTCCGGTACGACGTGGGGTTGGCACAAGAGGTTTTTGGGTGTTTTTGCAAAAGCTACAGGTGACACAGAGACACACAGTTTAGTACAAGCAGGTCCGGATTAAGAAAGTCCGACTTATGAACAACTCTTACTTTTTAACGGACTGCCATTAAGCTTGTTGTATTAAAAACTTGGGTTAAATACAATGGTTCGAAATAACGAACGCACACACTACTTTATGGCATAAAAACTAAAACATTGCACAGATTTAGTGGTCCGTTGGCTCGAGGTACAGTACAGCACCCTATGTAGTTACTTTTATTGTTACTATGTAATTGTTATTATTTACTGTATTATTATCTTTCCAACTTACCAACAAATTCTATGTAAAGACAAATTTGGGGAATGGATCTCATTCATAACCTGGGGACGGCCTGTTACTCACAAATGCATAAAATATTTGTATATAGTGTTGGTATGGAGGACGCCAAGCATGTTTACGGCAGCCTCTCACGTGATATCTCGCAGTGATCTGGCAGTGATCTGGCAGTGATCTGGCAGTGATCTTTGTATCTCACGCTTCCCATACCTTTTCGATTCACTTCATTACACTCGCATGCTAGCTTTGCTCACCATGGGGTCCAGAAATTTCATGTTTCTTTCAGATCATGGAGGGCCTGCCCCCATAACCCCCGCGATATGGAAGGGTCCACTGCATGCCTCTGTTGCACTGAGTCCAGCTCCGCCATCTGCCCGTAATGATGGATTCACCATTCTTCTGTTGACACTGACTTCTGAGAGCAGAAGCAGCACGAGAGGCTTAATTCCATCCTCAGTGTCCTGCAGAAGTTCCACCACAGCCTGGCCTAGATGAGTCAACATTCCTGCCTCTTCTAATTTACTATTTCTCACCTTAGATCTCCAGGGAGGCAAATTACAGTTTCTGTCAGAGGAATCACAGACACTGATAACTAAAGGCACTCGGGGACGGAGAGCCTTGAGGGAGTTCTCAGCGTTACAGGGGAGGGAGATTAAAATAGTCATTTAGCTCTGCCTGGCTGGAAAACAATGAAGACACACAATGCCTTCGGATAATTCAGCAAGCCGGCTTTTTACGATGTATTGTAAATGTCAAATTTATTGAAAGAGATGATTCATGCTACGAGCGACTGGTCCACTGTGTTTAGGACACACTCTGAGATCCCCTATCAGTGTACTTTGGCCCAGTATCAAATGCAAACAGGATGGTACTCATTCACACAAGACTGACTTCCTGAAAGGCAAGGCTGCCAAGAGTTAGAAGGAAGTCGGACGTCTGGAGTTTTCTATTCTGCTGGAACCAGAAGCGCAGATTGGTTGGAATGAGTGGAGCAGTCACGCTGGGCCACGTTCACCGGCTCCGTGCTGCACATCGCTCAGGAAGTGATCGCTGTGTGTACATTCTCTACTACTTCCTCTTCCTCTCTAATTCATTGTACAAATAACCACCGCTGGCAGTTAATGTAACAACAAAGCAATTCTCACCGGTGTAATGTTTCACATAATGAGCTCAGAAGAGCACCAAAGGCGGGGGAGGTGGAGGAAGAGGGGGAGGGGGGGGGGACAACAGACACAACAAGAGAGAATTATAATCCGAAACACGTTTGCTGTTTGTTTCCAGTTATGATTCAAAGTCCAGACAAGTAATAATTAGACTTAAGAAAGTGTTAATTCATGTAAACTGTAAATTAAATCAAGGATACAAATAGGTCAATAGTAATGTTACTTTCAGTTATTTCTGGTTTAACACGCTTCTACTTTTGTTCTGTACTAGAATACAGTGTATCTAAGAACAGGGGAGGAATGTTGTTTACATGCTGTGGAGTGCATCTTTAATGGCTGCTAATAAGATAACTACTGAATGACTGTGTTCATCGTGTGGTCTGGGCTGTATTAGCCAGGCCTGGCTATATTCTGCAACTACCAGGGAGTGAAAACAAAAGACACGCCAGAAAATAGCCCAACAGGGTCATGTTGGCTGCAATGTGACTCCTCAGATGATGCTTATCCTCTAAGATGCTGGGACATAGTGTTTTCTTGCGCGAGAATGCGACCAGGAATGTGTTTGCCTTTTAATGCTGTAAAAAAATAATCTCGGAAGGAACGAGTTGAGCAAAAATAGAGCCGTGAGCCAAGAAAAGGAATAACAGTCATTATTCACGTTTAGGAGAGTAAAAACTGGACCGCAGAAACATTACACACTATTGATATGTGCCACCTGATATATTTTTTTCTTTACCAAAAATGGTCATCTAAATTCTATGCTTATTGTTGATGATGGGGGTGTCCCAGTACAAATTAATTATTAATATTAAGTTCAGCTGAAATGCAAAACCTTATATAGCAGACTAAACGGGTGGGTTTGTTGGGAGATGTTTTGTACCTCTTGCTACTTCACCTGCCGCAAACGGCTGGCGGAAAGCGATTAGCCAAAGTGACTGACAGTGGGTTGCAGTTTCTTTATGTGTGCTCCCAGGGATTTGAACCCTGAGCCTTTTGGGTCATTAGCACAATGCCTGACTTATTGAGGGACAGGACTGACTACAGTTACCACTGAGCATTCACTGAAAGCTCAACATGACACTTAAGTCTAGTCGATTCCTCGACAGCCATGTTTGTACATTGTTATGGATAAAAGCAGCTAAATAAAATAAATGTAAATGTAAATCTCTTACCTGAACATCTTGAGGTCTTCTTTAGCTAAATTGTGGTTAAGCTACTCCTGTTGTGGAGATTTAAAATATATCTTGACCTGAATGAGAGTCTGAACTCATTTTGAATCATTCATTTGTAGACTAAAGCTCTCTTGTTTCTCAGCTTGCTCTGTTTCTGCGAGTGGCGAGTTCCGACCCATTTGTGTGCGGGTTAAGTGCTCTGCAGGGCTTCCGCGTTCGAGAGGTTCCTGGTGGCCTCTTTGTGTCCGGATGAGCGATGGGGGATGGTACCAGCCAGATGCAGGCCTGCCTTTCCGGATGAACATGGACGGAATGAAGGCGTCCCGAATACATAGCAAGGCCAAAATGGGCTGGGAAAGGTTTGAAAGAGATCTAGAGTTTGCAGTGTAGCATCTCTGCATCCTGTGAACAGGGCTGGGACAACGAGGGGGGGGGGGGGGATGTACATCTCTACAGCATCCTGTTCAAGATGAGTGACACCAAGTGGGTCTAACGACTCCTTTGTGTACAGTGTGTCCCTGCCCTGTCCCTAAACAGAGCGAAATGTCATAAGCGATGACCTAATGAAAGGAATTATGGCACAGAATCCAAACGAGGTCAGCTTAATCGAACATAATGGGTTAGCCATTGTGTGGCGCACACGGTGTACATATCGAGAGCACTAATATTTAGACAGGATCTTCTCGCTGCTTGTAAACGATGCCAACCAGTCAATCAACATCCATTCATGCGGGGATTTTTCCATGGAGTTTGTGGGGGGGGGGGGGGGTTCATTAGTTAAACAGACGTCACATCAATTAAGGTTTTGTGTGTTTTCAGTAAAATGCCGTCCATCTGTCGTGTGTTTTCGGCTGCCTGTATGACTGAGCTGTTGTGAATGCTGAGACTTTGTGCAGGGAGTAACCTATTGACTGGTGTATGGACTCAGCTTTGTGGGGGGGGGGG